TTAGTAGTAGTGATCAGCGGGGGGGGGGGGGGGGGGAGGGAAAGAAACTTGGTATTGTTTTATATTTCCTAAACAAACCATAAATTAAATTGGCTTGACTCCCAATAATTAATAGCAAAATGCCACAAATAATAGGCAGCAACAGTGATGTGCATTCAGAAATCCTGATCTTTCTTTTGGAATACTGATATTTATCACTAGAGGGCACAATTTATATAGCACTGAAAGAAGGCTTTGTTTTAACATGTTACTTTTGACTATCATGTAAAAATGTATTGTGAATTCGGTGTCTATTATGTTTGTTGTCCTATAGCACCCTGAATAGATTAGATTTGCAAAGAAATGTCATATATATTTAATACATATATATTTAATATGAGTAATTAACTGTCAAAGTTGGCTGCCATGTGGAATGTTTACTTTGGATTTCTGCTGCTTTAATTTGAACTTCACAGTCAACTCATGGAGTAGTTTTAAATAAATCTGTGCAACTAGGTATTAACTGTAGATTGTAAAATAGAAATAATAACAAACCAAAGTGTCACAAATACCTTAAAAAGAAGAGTTATCTCCAGCTGAAAAAAAAAGAGATGATCATAACAGATGGAGTATCAAAATAATTTCATAATGCAAAATGTACTTGGCATCTTCTAACAAATAAGGTGTGAAGATACTTATTCACTGTCCTTTTTTTGGAGGAGCTGGCCTCTATGCTTTGAGTTCCAAATCAGTTAAAAACAGTTGTAGGTCCTACTGGGTATATCCTGACTGTCAGTCAAATGAAATCCTGCTTCAGGGACCCTGAAAACTAGCACAGCCAGGTTTTTAATGATTGCTCTAATGCTAGCATGAAGAAACTGGTTTCCAGATATTGCTGAACTGTAATCCCTATCAACCCCAGCCAACATGCTCAATGGTGGGAGATGTTGGCAGTTCGTGTTTCAAAGTTCCCCACATTGGCTTTGAAATAATCTATTAGATATATGCTGTCAATGTTCCTTATTGGCTCTTCAGTGGTGCAGTATTCTGATTTTTCTTTGTTGACTGTTCCTTGTTTTGGGGTTTTTCTTTATCACAGTAAAATAAAAACCATAAACAACTGTAAGACCTCAGAGTTAAATCAACACAACAAAACCATCATGTTACTTCCTCCCTGGGCCAGCTGATTGTAACTAAGTTGCATGCTCCGGACAAAGACCCTTTGGTCTACTGGGCCACCCTTGCCTTGGGCCAAGATGCTTAAAAGGGTGCTGCCACCAGAAGACCTCTTTTCTTGACTTTCACAGGGGAGAGATTCTCAGCCTGCCCCTTTGGCCTGCATAGAATGGTTGGCAGATTCTACCTGAGCCAGACAGTCCCAAAGGTAACTTTGGCCCAAGCCATAAAGGTCCTTAGAGGTGATAAGCGACATCTTGAACTGGATGCCTGTCGGTAGCCAGTACAGCTTCTGCAAGATTGGTGTTATTCTGCTGTACCAGTATTGACTGTCACCAGATGGGCCGCTGCATTCTGGATGACCTGAAGCCTCCAAATTGCCTCCAAAAGCACCCTCCAAGCGTGACATGATAAGGACATGTTGCAGAGCCAGCTGATCCACAGAAAGTGGCAACTAGGTCACAATTCAAAGCTGGGCAAAAGCTCTCCAGATTATAGCCTCCACTTGCTGTTCCAGTAGGAGTCACCAGTCCAAAAGAGCTCCCGAGGTACAGGCCTGCTACTTTGGGAACAGTGCCACCCTGTCCAGAGCAAAAGATAGAGGGACTTACTACTGGATCTTATCTGAGTTGTAGTCGATCTGTACATGTGGTCATTTTGCAGAAGCCAGCCCCAGATTTAATACTTGTTTCAAAAATTGTAATTCCAAAGAGTCAAAACCTTTAAATATATCCAAGATAATTAAATTTTATTAATGTTGCTAATTTGTATAACGTTTAGTAGTTTCCTAATAGAGCTAGATTTCTTTTTGGAATAAAGCCAGGTTGATCCAGATGGATAAATGTGCTTATAATCAGTTTTAGATGAATGACTAATAATTTGTTATCGAGTTTATAATACAGATTGAGAAGTGAAATGGGTCGGTAAAATGTTAATTTCTGAGAATTTTTACCTGGTTTAAAGATTAGGATTATCTTAGACTTTTTTCCAAAACCCTGAGAAGTTTCACATACAGGTAGTCCCAACTTAACAACCCTAATTGGGACTGGGATTTCCATTGCTAAACAATGCGGTTGCTAGGCGAAACATATGACCTCACTGTTTAGTGATGGCAGTTTTAGTAGTCTCGGTTGCAGTTGTTAGGCCAAGATTGTGCTGTT